ATAGATAGATAGATAGACAGATGTTTAGGTTTGAGAATAAACAAAAACTTTACATCCATACAACCTTAATAATTAACTTTATTTAAAGTAAAGTAAAGTTAAAATAAAATAATAAAACTGCTTTAGTAACATGGAAAAAATTGTTTTTCATTATTAAAAGGAAGAGGCAATTTTAACTTATAAAATCAGAAATAAATAATTTCAGCAACATTTTAATTAACTTCTCAAAGATTACTTAATTTGTAAGTTTTTAAAAATTATAAATAAAATAACTTTTCACATAGAATTTTCCTATGTCCCTGCAAAAAGTGGCAAAAACGCATTTTGAAATAACCAATTTAAACATTAAATGCATTAACAGGAAGTCTTTTTTTGACTAAATGAAATCGGTACTAGATTATTTAAATTGCAATTTCATTTTCCTATTTCATTTAGTTAAAATCATTAAGAATGTGATATTTAAGATACAATTTCAAAAGATAGCCCAGCAAAAAAGTTTAAAAATTTATTTCTAAATGACAAATTTGTTCATCAACATGCATTAGCAGAAATAATTTTTCATTACACAGTCAAACCTGCATTTGTTTTCTTCATACCAACAAATAATCCAAACTGCTTTTTAATTTTCTTATCCAATGCTGCTAATTTTGTTACTTAATTTAATTTATTAAAAAATATATAAAATTCAACATTTCAAAAGATGCCCCAGCAAAAATTGACCAAAATTATATGCTACTATTGGTCATTTGAATTTTCATTAAAAAAAGGATACAGCTCTGTCTTTAAAAAGAAACAGGCATTTCTGTTGATATGAAAAGTTGTTTTTAGACACACTACTTTGTCACTTTTATTGGAAAATTTACTGCGTCATGGTGGTTAAAACACTTTAAATCCTAAATGCACTTTTTCAATATGATCCATTAGATAACACTTGCATTTAGTCAAAAATGTAACCTGCAATATGATTTTTAATTCTCAATTCAGTCATTTGGCTACATTTTGGGAAATCTTTTGAAAAGGAGATGTGAAATTTTATTTTGGTAAAGTAAGTAAAAAAGTATCAATATTTAAATGAAAATGCATTTTGAATGATTAATCTTTAATTTTATCTGTAAATCAGAAAATGCAGCTTTATTTAGAAAATGAGAAACAAATTTCAATCATTCCATTTTAATTAGAAAATCCAGATACATTAGCTTCCATATTGAAAAGGAAACATGAAATGCAATAGAAAATAGATTGAATTAAAAATTAATTAATATATAGGTTCTGAACATTTATAAAATACTTTATTACATCGTTCATTATTGTTGTTAGGTAAGTTTTTTTCTGAAAACAGAAAGCTAAAAGGAGGACATTTATTTAAATGGTCAATTAATATTGACAGAATAGCTTTTGTTCTGGTTCTTTTTCATTATTTGAAAGGTTGATCTCTGGTAGTTTAAGTATAATCCATCTTAATGGAGAAAAATATAATACTATAGTAATGGAAGTCTTAACTTTTATAAGAAAAATCTCAAACATATTTATAAAGGGTCTTCATGATCCTGTGTCGTGCAAGACGCTTGTCAAAAACCAATTTCCAGTTATCGCCAGCGGGGGGCAGTAGACCGACAGCATCGATTGTTATGCCCCTCCACATCACTGCATGAAGAAGAAGAAGAAGCAAAGGGCGGCCTTCACCGACAGCGCAAGCTAAGCTATTTTAGCAAAACCAAGATTCCCTTTCCCTCTTGTTATACACAGATTGGAAGGTTGTTTGGGATAAAGACTCATTCATGTAAGTGTCTAAAACAACCAGTATTCCGAACTATCTGTGTTCTAACTGCGAGCCAAACATCTACAGCTGGGTATTGTTTGCGTTGAGGAACTAGTTTAACTTGGAAATACCTATGCTTTGTTTGGTTTAGACTTCCTCATATATACCTAAACAATAACGTCTTCTTATTGGTTAGACACTGTGTGTTTGTTTGGCTTTTTTCAGAGAAAAAAAAGATTTTTTTGGGTTGAAATAATTCATAGCTTTGTAATAATCGGTAATATTTGCTAGCAGGCGGTATCGATGGCTAACAAGAAGTATAGTCGACGGTCTCTAGCCGCGGGTAACACACGTGCGCTAATAGATGTGCGCCCTTTATCGGACAGCAGGCATATTAAAGTTTTAAGACGTATGTTTCCTATACAGCTTTCCTCAATTAAGAGTTTATACCTGTTATTTACCAACTAAAACTTTGAACGGCTAAATTTAAGCCACGTTATAATGTAATACGTGTCAGGAGGGGATGTAGAAGTCTTACATCAACTCCGGATCTTTTAGTATATTCTGCTCCCGTTAGCCTCCCTAAAACATATCAGTTAACCGACGAGATTAACATTTAATGATAATTAGTATATCTTTCTGTACGTTCTGTTTAGTTTCGTAAATGTCTTAAATCATGGCCATGCGCAGTATTTTTCAGAGTTGTCGTTTTGAACCCACTATAGTATAAATAGTATATTTTAAAAACGTGAAGTTATTCCCTGAAATAGTTGAATAAACGGACAGGATCGAGCGGTTAATGACTTGTTGTCCGATGATGGACCGGTTGCTCTGAGATGCTAAAGTTTGATCATTTCCGGAAGGCCAGTGACCTAACTTGTCCACACCCTTAAATGTCTCTTTGTTAATGTCATGAATTAAAGATCAAACCTTTGATGACTTTTTTTTAAAGCCACCGTGTTTAAATTTTAACCAACTAACTCATATTTCCGGGACTACACGTGTGTCGTCATTTCTAAACTCGGAAGTGAGCCTTTGGAGAAGGCATTCCAGGTAAAGCTTAGATTTAAGTGGTTCTAATTCATCAAACTAGGAGCAGGATTCTAGGAATATGTACTGACTGGTTAAAAATAAAAAAGGAAGGGCTATGTTTTCCCTGAATTTGTATTTTTTTTGGGAGGTATTTTTTAATTGTTTGCAAACAAATTGTTTAATTTCAGGTACTGTCTGAGGAGAGGGTATTAAACACGCAATTATGTCTGGAGCGTGTCGGGACAGAAGTCGTCGCTGGCAAGAGATTCAAAAAGGCCTTCAGTTCATTCAGTGAGTGTGTTTTACAGACCATCATATATAATGATGTATCCTGTAGAAGACAACAACTATGTTTTAATAGTACATATATAGATATCTAAATTACAGCAGTTTTCAAACATAGAAAAAAATAAGTTTAACTCCAGTTGAAATGGTATTACTAGTGCAGATAGTCATATTGTAAGCACATCAGTCCTTAATCTTTCAATACAGTTAAACTTTAAATTAGACTGTATTTTTTGTTGTTTTGGGAAATTGATATCAGGGTGTTTTTTTTTTACAGTCTGGTTATATGTCTCTTATTGCAGTGTTATTTGGACCCATTAAAAGCAGAAATTGCTATTCCTTATAAGCCTTGATTTCATTTAAACTTAAAACATTGAGAAGGCAAAACCCCCACATTTGTAAATCTAATGACACAGAGGTGATGTACGGCTCTTTTTAGTTTTTTCTTATTTTTATTATTCTACATTTCCTTAGAGTTACCATGTATAGCTACATCAGGGTGCTAATCTGGGTTCGGTCTCTGCTTCTGTGAAGTTTTTTTTGAAACTTATGAAATAATACTCTGGTTCATGTATTTCTGTACAGCTTCCTGCAAACTCCCCAAATGTAGGAGAAGTGAGCTATGACACTTCTCCTTAAAAATACTGAAATGCAAGAAGTTATAAACATTTGGTAGGCAAAATTATCCTGCGTTATTATGGTTAAGGAGAAGAATATATAGTAAGGATGCAAGTTATTGGATAATGTATCTAAAATGTATTTATTTAATTATCAGTTGATAAACAGGATCTTTCTATAGCAGGAATGGATTTTTATTATGCATTCTGTATAAAATTCTGACTGAATAAACAAAATCATGGTTTCTTACTCATGATTAAGCTAGACATATTTAAAAGGTATTACAAGCAGGAACCTATTGGATTACTGAATAAAATTTTTTTTTTTACAAAAAAGTAACGTACTCATTGATTTCCAAAGTACAAGATGTAAAGCTATAATTAAAGGACAGGCATGTTGCTTTGATGTGTTGTCAGACAATTTGCCACTTTGTTACAGTGAGCTGGAAGGTAATTGATTTAGTTTTTAGTGTAATCCAGCAATCAGTGTGGTGAGAGTATTTATGCTTTTTATCAGGCAGTTCTGATCACTCTGAGGGATGTTAAAACTTGGCTGCATGAAGTGCATATAAAC